TTTTGTTTGTTTGTTTGTTTGTTTGTTTGTTTGTTAATTAGTTAGTTTGTTTGCTTGTTTTAATCAATTTTAAATCATGCTTTTTATTTGTTTTTGTTTCTAATGTCTCTGTAAAGCACTTTGAATCACCTTGTTGTTGAATTGTGCTATACAAATAAACTTGCCTTGCCTTGCCTTGCCTTTTATTTAGTGACAAACAAGCACCACCCATTGTAAAACCATAAACGGTGTGTTTTAACAGTTAAAGCACTGTGTGTGTGTCTGTGTGTGTGTGGATGTGTGTGCGTGGATGTGTGTATGTGTATGTATGTGTGTGTGTGCATGTGTGTGTGACTTCCTGGTTACAACTGTTTTAACAACATCCCTGGTGACAAAAAGGGTCATCTCCCCTCACCCTGTATATGGCTTCACCCCTTTAATGGTCCACCATATACAAGGTAGGTGAGGCCATAAACGGCAAGAAGTAAACATCCTTACTAAATAAGGACACCAAGAACCTTACATGCAATGTCTGCAGTTAAACACTGTAACCAATTGCCTCCTCCACCATCCTAGATGTGTAGTGGAGGAACAGAAAAATATCTAAACATGCAGTTTAAGACAAGGTTTACAAATTTAAGTACAATAATGGCAACATTTAACAATTCACTCTAACAATTTGCACTTGCAAAATCTTTTTATGTGCGCTCAGAATAGTCACAAAATAAAGCCATACTACACCTGTTCCTGCTACCAGAGCAGCTCGGGCCCAGCTATCCCCTGCACTCGTTACAGTTCCTTAGGTGATGGAGGCTGAGGTCCTACTTTAGCCCAGCATCTTGCTCAGCCAGAGCTCAGAGAGTGTTCTCCTCACTTTGGCTCTGCTTTGCTTAAGGCCACGGCCTCTGCACCTGGTGGCCCACCACCTGTTTTTGCTGGAGGCTCATCTAGCACTCCACGACTCTCACACCGCCGCTATTCCCGCTGGAGGCTCAGGAGAGTCAGTCCAGCACCTCCTCATGCTGCTGGTGACTCCGATAAGCCACTCCAGCCATCTCCATCCTCTGCTGGAAGCTCGTCTGAGCTCATTTAGCCAGCTGACTTCAATTTGCTGACACTGCCTGAGCAAAGCAAATGCCCAGCACAGCTCCAGCCAGCTTCATCTCAGCCAGGGGTCTCTGCACCCGCTGGCCCTGTGTCTGTTCCTGCTGGGGGCTCTGGTGAACCGCTCCAGCCGTCTGTCTCTGCTGTGGACTCCAAAGAGTTTGTCCAGTCATCTGTTCTGGCTGGAAGCTCTGTCTCTGCTGGGAGCTGCGAGGAGTCTGTCCAGCCCTCTGTCTCCGCTGGGGACTCTGAGGAGTCGGTTCAGCCATCCGTGGCTTCAGTGTGAATTGGGGGCTCTGGAGAGTCCACCCAGTTGTTCTCTGTTCCTGCTGGTAGCTCAGGCAAGCCCATCCAGCCATCAGCACCACCGTGAGTGCCACCATCCATGGCTGCCGTGCTACCACCTGCAAACACTACACTACCGTCTGGTCCTGCCTCTTCTGGTCCTGTCTCGTCTGGTACCATCTCACCTCACTGTCGCTGGCCACTTCCCAGGCCATCAGATTAGGATCATCATCATCATGGGCGGCCTCCTGAACTGTGGTGCCTCCGCCGTTTTCATGCGGTCAGCCTCCAGACCTGCTGCCACTGTCCTCACGGCCAGGGCCCTGGACATTCTCATTGCTGTCGCTTTCCAAGCAGTCGGCATCCACACCTGTGTCACCGCTGCGGTTTTCCATGAGGCTGGAGTCCAGATCTGCTTTGCCTATGATACAGCTGTTTTCCACGAGAGCGGCCCCCCTAAACTGTGTCAGTGCTGCCACTTTTCACTCAGCTGGCTGCCAGAACTGCTCTATTGCCACCGTTGGCTCCGCGGTTGGCCTCCAGATCTGTGTGATGGACTATTGTGTCGTCAGCCTCCGGGTCGGCCTCCTGAACTGTGTTGTTGGGCTCTTTGTGCCTAGTTTTTTTGTGTTTGTTGTTTCTGGACTCCTAGTGCTCCTGTTTTCCATTGCTCCAAAACAAAAGAAACATAAAAGCTTAATTTAACAGAAGTGCAAATATTCCCATATAAAAACTCTAAGTTAAGTTTAAACATGAATTAATTAATAATTGGTCCTGTCATGGTGCATGTTAAATAGATTTCAAAGTAAGGCGGAGCTTGTAGGTTATGCATTGCTACGTGCGACTGTTTTCTGCTTCATTTGTGTGAAGCTGAGTGTATCCTGCCTGAATTATGTCAGGTGCAGCACAGTTAAGTAAAAACTGAAACATAAAGTGTGACAAATATACAAAATAACAGGAAAATCTGGTTGTGGCCAAATGCTTTGTCACAACTCTGTGTAAATACAAACCACAGCTGGAATATTTAATTAGCTCAGTGAAAATATTCAAAATATGCCTGGATTTGCTTTGTGTTATGGATGACTGGCCGATTGGCATCACTGCAAGTCCAGAATGGAGTCTGCACCCTCTGAGCATCTCTGCTCGATCCAATCGTCTGAATTGTTAATATTACAGGACTGCTGGGGACAGACCTGCAACAAATCCATTCATCCCAGTTTAGACTTTGTCAAGTGCCCACTTGCCCCACCTCTCTCTCTAATATTTAGTCAACCAATCAGGTCAACAGATCTTCAGCCACACCTTATCATTCTCTCTCTATTTCCCTATTCCCTATTTATTTGTTTATCTATTTATTTACTTGTTATTGCTTGTGTCCTTGAGTGTTTTGAAAGATGCTTTCTTAAATAAAATGTATTATTATTTTTATTAATTATATCTCTTTTAACATGGACATTTGAACGTTCAGTCATATCCAAAAAAAGCCTCACTTTTCATTCCTTATAGATCTCATTAGCACGTTCACTTTATCATAATCCCTTTTAATTCAAATACTTTTTCTCTTGAAAACTGTGTTTCTCAGTGACTATTTACTCAATACAATCGAATTTTAAATAAATCATACACTTTAAATGTGAGAAATTCAGAGATCAGATCCTGTGTGCACTCTCATTTAGTCTCTCTCTCTCTCTCTCTCTCTCTCTCTCTCACACACACACACACCTCTGAAGGCATTTTGTACACAGGCTTTGAGCAGCCTGAATTAAGCCTGTCATCATTATTAATTTTTCACAATATAAAACGGTCAACTTAAACATAATTATCTTTATCATTCTGTGTTTAACCGCTGTTCAAAAGTATATTGATGGGTTGGCGACACAGTCCTTATCTTCTCAATCCAGCACATGAATACAAAAGGTTGATTATGGCTCATGTATGCAGACGAAAATCCAAACATTAGAACAGACATTTCCACAATTCAAACTGCATTTCTCTGCATACTGATCACTTACATTTTTTATTTGTATTTAACTAAGAATACAAATGATCACCAAACTATTGAAAAAAAGTTCTGTTTTAGCACTGATGTTTATAAACACACATGGCTGAATGTCAAGTCCTTTTACCCCCTCAGCTTTGATGGCAGGGGGCGGCCAGGGGGACCTCAATCTCTCTCTACGCCACGTTACTTGACAGAGCCAATCATGTTCTGCAGTGTGATGGTGATGAACCAATCAGACCTGTCAGATGTGGCAAAATGTAGGACAAGCTGGCGTTTTTAAATCT